TTCGACATCTGAAAATAGGAAACCTCAATTTCAAGCCTCGGGAAAGTTTCACGTCAAACAATGGTACAGTAACCAATTCCTGGGTATGAAAAATATCACTATGGTGTTTGCCGCATGGGTATGCTTTCTGTCCCGGAAACTGGTTACGGACTCATTTTCATGGGCAAAAGTAGGAACTGGAGCCGAAATCCAAGAAGATCCAAGAAGTAGCGTTCGTCTTATCATGTCCCGAAAATGGGAGCGACTGAAAAAAAAACCTTTTTTCGAAGTTTTTGGACTAATGAACCCTGCAGCAGAGTTACCCACATTGGATTCTTTTGCCACTGATTTGTAATTAAGCAGCTTCTATCAAACATCGTTGGTCGCCCAAAAAGGAAGTAGTGTTCATCTAGGGAAATTGGAGAAAGGAAAAGGGTCGGTTCTTAGGAATGGTAGCCTCATAAGAACAGTCCACTTTCACGCGTAGATCGTTTTCATCTCTGAGCAACTGGGGGCCGGGTGTAACCGCATCATAAAATAGGCACGTTACGTAGGTAGCTTTACTGGAATCTCCGAAAATTTTAAGTACTTCAATCTCTTCCGGATCTCTGAATTCCCAATTCCAGTAACTGAGATTCAAAGAGGAGCACGAGAGGAACTGGTTAGCAAAGCTATGAATATTCAATTGGCTTTTGTCCAGGATACGTGGGTGACGCTCCTCATCTTAGCTGGTTTTCTATTTTCCCCATTTCCCCCTCTCCTCACCTCCCAGTCCTTTCCATTCACTCTCAACGCTCACATCCTGAACCTATAGCGAGGTTCTCCTATGTGAAAGTGACTTCATCACTGAGCCTATTCCAGGGTTCACTTTTCCAGGGTGCTGAAGTACTAGAGCTTCATTTCTAAAGCACAAAATCCATCTCGATATAGTTCTAACCGATAAATGAGATGTTTTTCAGGATGTGGAGTTGGGTACAGTTGTGGCGCCTATGGTTGTTACCGTAGTCGAGCTCGAGTACATGGCGCTGGTACCGTACACAATGGACCGGTGCTTATGGGATCCGAACGATTTTCACGATTCCGACGGCCCGAAATGTCCAGGGTGAAGCTAATTACTTATTATGATACAATTGTTACTATCTAGTGCTGTACTAAGTAGATGGAATCTGAACAGAAAGAGCTTCCGCAAGCGTACAGTCTGTACAGCTGTACTGTGACCAGCAGTCGTCCTAGAAAATAAATTGGGTCTGCTGACGGGACTGATCCGGAACAGCCTTCAGTAATAGGGCGGTGTAGATGGAGAGCTTTATGACTGGCTCTGAAACGCGCCTAGCCCTTTTTTAAACCCGACAATCTTGACTAGAGCACTTCAGTAGACATTATGTCGAAGGTTGAAGTTGTCGGTTTGAGTTTGTCGAGAAATTTTGGTACCCTGGCTTTTTTGGAAAAAATTGGAAATAAGGCCGAAACAAGAGATCAAAGGCACGATAGCCATTTCAGTTTCTAGGTGGAAATAAGTAAGACTG